ACAAACAGAACATAAATAGTAATAGCAGTATATCAAAGCTCAGTGGCCCAAGCCACTGTCCTGGCCCCTTTACTGTTCCATATCCTCATAACAGACATAAAAATCACTCGCTGCAGCTGCGTTTCATCATTTGCAGATATCAAAATATGCATGAAAATCACCTTAGTAGAGGACATAAAAAAATTGAAGGGAGAATATAAACAGTCTTCTAGTCTAGTAAACAGTGGATAATAACATAATGTTTAATACTGACAAGTTACAACTACTTAGAAATGGAATAAATGAATAACTTGAGAGACTGTATGCAAAATGCAAGATCACCAAATTGAACAAAAGGAACATGTGAAAGATCTAGGTGTAATGTAATCTGGCCTGCCTTTCAAAGAACCCAATAAGGTCAGTATCATAAAGCCAATTAAAATGACAGGGTGGATAATGTAAAATTTCAAAATAAGGGGAAAAATAGATACTGTGGGCATATTAAGAAAAAACTATCAACATCCACGGGCCCAAACTGTTTAACACTACCACAAGTTATCAGAAACTGTCGGAATAAGTGTAGAAGTTTTCAAGAGAGAAAATCGGACATGTACCTCTGCCAAGTACCAGATCATCCAGAATGTGATGGATAAATGGGCCAGTGAGCCAATAGCAGTTAACAGCCTATCTGATCAGGCAAGTACCAGACAAGCCTGGCTGCAAAAGTAGGGAAAACTCTGATAAGTCTTGAAAAGTACAGTATATCAAAGGTAAGGCCATAAACACAGTACCACTGTTAGTAGTATTTCTCTTACCCTTACAGTTTATATACTAGACTTTGAATTGCATATTAAAGTTCTGTAGCCCTAGTTTGAAATATGAAAAAATAATTACATAGTATATATATATTTGGTAAAATTTTTACTAAAAGTTCACCAATATATCCTACATTCCTAAAATAAAGCTACTCAACCACCAAGAGTCAAGTGTAACTTAAGCATTATTTGCAATACAGTATGCTGTATAGTTCCCAGGAAAGTAGTAAACCATCAATATAAAAGACCTCCATATAATGCACTTTGGGAATACATAAAAATTTGCTAGGCAAGTGGTTTCAGAAACAATGGGGGAAGGTCTGTTGTTTACATAATGTCAGTTATTGTGACTATCTCAACTGCTAAACAACCACCCACTCCCCCCTATTAGTCTATTATATCAAGGGTTTGTAGTATGACGTGGTGAGTGTTCAACTAGTCTTCCAAAACTCAAGCTATAGTATGTCAGTGGGGTTTCTAACTTAAAAAAATTCCAAACCATACCACGGGCGGGGATAGAACCCCGATCAGAGTCTCAAAACTCCAGACCGTCGCGTTTTGAAAGTTTTGAGACTCTCTGATCGCGGGTTCTATCCCTGCCCGTGGTATGGTTTGCTTGCAATCGTGTCATTACGATTTTGTGAGTCATAAAAAATTCCACTTTTACATGAAAAGCAAATTTTCATTAACATCTGCAGGTAGCTACTATAAAAGATATGTAAACATATTAGATTAAACACTGAGTTAGAACATTTATTGGATGAAAGAAAAGTTAATGTTAAAAATTGGAGCATCCCAAATGGTGATTAATGTTAGCCTAAAAGATTAACATCTGAAAACTTACCTGTCAAAGATCATACAAGATGTTGTAATCAAAGGAAAATATTAACTTACATATAAAGTATAATATATAACTAATGCCAATGACTATACCATACATGCTAATGGCTGTACCACAATAAGCACACTACTCATTTTATCAGTAAAGATAGGTAAAGTTAGATGTGGTTACTACAGTAGTGTACTTGAATTGGTGACTGCCTGTCAACAACAAGGGCCACTGACATTCATTTTTAAGGACCTAATGGAAATACAAGCAAGTCAAGCTGTTTGACTTTACTGAGTTATCCTGGGTTAAAATTACAGTACATAATATACCTTCACCTTACTTCAGTGAGAGACAGCCAGTGTGTTAAAAAAAATACGTACCACTGTCATACCAACATGAATAAAGCATTTATGTACCCAGAGATGCATTGTAAAAATTTATATTCTAAAATATTTCCTAAGTAATCCTTATCTAAAAGTTAAAGTATAGAGAAAAATAAATTACACAAGTATGTGTACTTCATCTGATTTCATTTTCAGTTTTATTGTATGTGAAAACACCTTCGACTGTCGATGCGACAAATTATATTTAAAGTGTTGTGTATACAGCAACATTAGGAGAAAAATAATAACACCAAATATGGCATATTTGCTGTTTGGAAGGACATCTACATTGTCACATCTGCATGCTTCTGGCAAGACAATGATAATGTGAATGATGGTGAAAGTGTCTTTTTCAGGTCACCCTGCCTTGGAGGGGAGACGGCCAGTGTTAAAAAAGAAAAATATACGTCTTATATGGCATTCTCTTTTTATCACCCGTTAGATTGTTTGGAGGGCACTACATACATGTACATATTACATGTTTATATGGTATCGTATAACCTGCAGTACAGGATGTACAGTAATGCATTTTTCACATGAAAGCAAATATCTTTGTAAAGTTGATGGTGCATAGTAACCAATCATGATTTTTTTAACCTAAAGTTCAGCTTAATTCAGGAAATTTGCAAATTATTTTACAGTATACCTGGAGGGTGTTTTGGAGGTCAACGCCCCCATGTCCCAGTCCATGACCAGGCCTCATAGCAGTAGATCAGGGCCTGATCAACCAGGTTGTTACTGCTGGCCACATGCAAACCAAAGAAGGAACCACAGCCTGGCTGGTCAGGGACTGACTTCAGGTGCCTGTATAGTTCCCTTTTGAAGATAGCCAGGGGTCTATTGGTAATCCCCCTTATGTATGCTGGGAAGCATACATAAGGGGGATTACTTACTGTGTTGTCTCTTAACATACTTGTGGCACCCCTGCTTTTCATTGGGGGGATGTTGCACCACCTGCCAAGCCTTTTGCTTTCATGGAGAGTGATTTTCATGTGCAGATTTGGGACTAGTCCCTCTAGGATTGTCCAAGTGTATATCATGCATCTTTCTCACCTGCATTCCAAGGAGTACAGGTCAAGAGACTTCCACTGTTCCAAGTAATTTGGGTGCTTTATTGTACTTATCCGTGCAGTGAAAGTTCTCTGTATATTCTTCAGGTATGCAATTTTGCCTGCCTTGAAAGGGGCCATTTGTGTACAGCAATACTCCAGCCTAGAGATAACAAGCAATTTGAAGAGAAATCATCACTGGCTTGGCATCTCTAGTAATACGGTTCTCATTATCCATCCTATCATTTTCCTAGCAGATATGGTAGAGACACTGCTGTGATCTTTGAAAGTGAGATTCTCTGACATTATCACTCCCAGATCCTTCACATTAGTTTTTCACTCTGTTGCATGGTTGAAATTTGTTTTATACTCCGATCCAGTTTTTATTTCCCTGAGTTTTCCACAGCGGAGTGACTGAATTGTCCTCATTGAATGTCATATTGTTTTCTGAAGCCCATTTGAAGACTTGGTTAATATCTGCTTGGAGATTTGAGGTGTCTTCAATGGTTGATGCTGTCAAGCAAACTCTGGTATCGTCAGCAAAGGAGGACATCTCTGTCTCTGTCAGATATGAGGATGAGGAAAAGGATAGGAATACCGTACCTTGTGGAACTTAGCTTTTCAATGTAGCACCCTCTGAGTTGACTCTGTTTACAATTACTCTGTGTTCTATTTGTTTGGAAGTTATGGATACATCTTATAGATCCACTTTTCCTGTTATTCCTTTACCACACATGAATATTGTTATGCCATGATCACACTTGTCGAAGGCTTTTGCAGTCTGTTGTACTACATCTGCATTTTGTTTGTCTTCCAGTGCATCCAAGACCACATCACAGTGGTCCAGTAGTTGCGAGAGGCAGGAGTGATCTTAGTCTAAACCCACGCTGCCCTGGGCTGTGCAACTGATGGGTATCCAGGTGGTTGACAATCTTGCTTCTTAGAACCCTTTCAAAGATTATGTGATGTTAGTGCTATCAGTCTGTAATGTACACAGATGCTATGGGCATACATTAACTGTATGTTAATTAGATTTATTTTCTGTTTACTGAATAAAGTCACTCTTGACTTATTTCCGTTGATATCCTCCTCCCTCTTCCTTAACCATATGTCTAACATTCCACACAGCTGATAGTTCCCTAAATCACGGCTATTAGCGTATGCTAACCATAACGTGAACATGAATATAGTAAGTGTGGATGAGGGTAGCAGGAGAGGCATTACAGAGAACAACTGACAAGTGTGAAGCATCATGACTGATGTAAACAAAGAGGATGTCAACAAACAATATTTCCCTCACATACAAACCTTCTCTACCACATGTTCACCTTCACTGTCATTAACACACCTGTAACATCCCATTCGCACGGCCTCCAGTATATTAATTACCGCTATATGCCAGGCAAGGCAAAGTTGCAATAAAAAGTAACCCACTCAAAAACATTAATAGGGATTTCCTGGGAAGAGTTATTCAGGTAATTGTTGAAGGTGTTGGACGTACTCACCACTTTTGAACACCTCGGGGGTGTCTGGGTCCGACGAGTCGTCGCTGAAGTGTTCCATGATGAAGAAGTGGTGAGCAGGTAGAGAGGTGTGGGGGAGTGTTACATGGTTACACCCAACATTCGATCACTGACACAACCAAACGCCATGACAGATGCCAACACCGGTATTACATCTTATATATTTTCCTCCCGGGCATCTCTCTACTTGCATATTACACCATTACCACTCTATACTAATAACCTCCTTGCTTATATAAATGTACACATATTTATATGCATTCCTAAAGCAAGATATAAATATCTTTAACTAGTTATATCTCTGAATAAACACCATACCAAGCCAGCAACAAATATGAAAAATACGTATAATTTCTTTAAGCATATACGTATAAATTATATATAATAATAAAGATATTTTATAGCCGTCTTATATGGCTAACGTAAGTGACAATACGTGGAAATATAAAGAGTATTTACAGTGATTGAGAAGAAGACAGACCATGACAGTAACAATGGCTGCTCCCAACCCATCAACACTCTTACCTCTTGGTAAACTACTTTATAATATAATAACAATGACTTTACTAGGCACTACACTACTTGTGTTGGTACATATATATCTTTTCCTTGATGTGACGCAACGACATTTATTCGTTTGCAGAATATTCCCGTTGTTGGGACGGTCCTGGAGAACCCAATGGAGATAAGCTTATTTTGTTATATCTGGTTTAATATAATTATTTGTCACACTTCTATACCTCTATTGTTCATGGGTAACTTGCAACAAAATAAATCTTCAGTATGATACATTGTTGTAATTATGTAAATGAAAATCAGTGACAATGGTCGAGTATGAATAGAGATCTTAATAGCAATGTTTGTATAGTCCTTGTGGCTTAGCGCTTCTTTTTGATTATAATATAATAATAATAATAGCAATGTTGAAATGACTTTATTTGGCTAAGTTACCTATACTTGAATAAAATTACTTACAGTAAGTAATTTTATTCAGGTATAGGTACACATAAATATAGTTACATAAATTAGCGTACATAGTTACATATGTGTAGATTAACCTAGGATAACCCAAAAAAAGTCAGTGACTTATTTCCATTGGGGTCCTTATAATATCGTCTTATTAAGCCTTCAAAACTAAAACAGCTAACTAATTCAACTGTAAAAATCAGTTAAAATAAAAGAAGATATACTAGGAATAATGTAAACTGGATTTTTACATTAGCATTAAAGAGAGGATCAGCTTCCAGTAATAGATACATGAATGTTACAATAATAGGTACAGGTATGTTAATTATACAAGAAATTATCTTCACCTTCTGTAGCTTCATTCATTAGGTACCTTTTAGCTCTCCTCCTGAACTGGCTCATGCTATCATAGACTTATTTAACATGACAGGTCTACATAATGTATTTTTTATGTGCCTATAACATATGTGCCCTCAAGATCACTACTATTTTGTGTGCTATGTATGTAGAGCATAAATAAAAACTTAGGATCTGCGTATCTTGATCCAGTAGGCCTTCTGCATTTCTTGATTCATACATTTTAACGAGTTAACCTACTACCTAGGCAAATATGTATATAGGTACATAAAAATCAGTTTGATCTCAGTTTAAAGTAAACCTAAAGCTATTTTGACTTCTTGGTTATCCTAGGTAATTTACATTATGTATAATAATTGTACTTACATGTACCTCTCCCCTCAAGGGAGGTTCCTTGATGCTGGTGAGGGGCTCTTGATCTAGGGAATTGGATCTATGCTCTGGTTCCCTGAATTGAGTTGGAATACCTTCCATCCCCCACAGGCGCTGTATAATCCTATGGGTTTAGCACTCCCCCATGATTATAATAATAATACATGTACCTGTGCCTAAATAAACATATATATTGTACTTGTGTGTACATGTGCCTAAATAAACTTACATATACTGTATCTCTGTGTGCTTGTGCCTAAATAAACTTATATATTTGATAAATTTAGAGGTGTCGTGCTTTAGGTCTCGGTGAGGTGCTGTATAACAATTTTTTTTTTTTTTTATTATCACACTGGCCGATTCCCACCAAGGCAGGATGGCCCGAAAAAGAAAAACTTTCACCATCATTCACTCCATCACTGTCTTGCCAGAAGGGTGCTTTACACTACAGTTTTTAAACTGCAACATTAACACCCCTCTATCAAGGGTATATGATGTTGAAGAAAACATTATTTGAGTTTGTAACTTGATTGTTATAATTTATGTTAAGCATTAAACCCATGTGGGTCATTCAGCACGAGAAGTGGTGGAGGCTTGTTCCCCATCTACTGAACATGAGACAGTGCACTTGCTATTTGTACTCTGCTCACTCCATTCATTAAGTAACTTAAGCTTTTCTGTTTTATTTGCCTCCTGTAATGATCTGTCATTCTTTTAAGGTCATAACTTAGATTACTCATTGCACAAACTTTATATTCACCTTATTCTTTCTAAATGCACAAATACATAATTGCTTTACTTGGACCAAAGGCACAGGCTGTCTGCATCGTGCATGCACTGCCTTTAAGTATACTGAAGATTTCAGTTTTTTCAAGACACTCAACTTTCACACTTATTCTTCTTGGCACTATCAGCATCACTAGTAATACTCTTGAGGACCATGGCTAATATCCAGAGACAAGAGAAGGTAATGAAAAAGATTCAAAATTGGTTGAATAACATACATTTGATTAAGGTATGAACCCATACGTGTACAACTGGCAGTGTGGTTGATTCAGATAAATGGTGAGACTAGGCCTCCTAAAAAAAAATGGCCTCAGCAATAGGCCAACTGCAGAGCAGAAGGGAAATATCTCATGGCATGTTCAAAAAAAATTTGACATGCAACGTGGACTGCAGCTTATTTTTCCAAAACTATATGACATGGTGTACCAATTTTCATCCTGTGCAATTTGGACTTTGGTGCAATATTTTGGTCATGCCCTTGAGATGAGTGTTATTTGGGTTTTTACTGTTCAGTATTTTCATAAAACAGTGGTACATGAACTTAATGTTATAGCTGGCAAAACTAGTATTTTATACACGTGCATATTTAGCTAGAAAATAAGTTAATAAAATAAAGTCATTCAGGTACACTAAATATTGCACTACATTTATAATTTAATTTCAGAGTTAGTGGACAAATGTATCGGTTCTCGGATCCACATTATAATGAAGAGTGACAAGGAAATAGTTGGGACACTTCTTGGCTTTGACGACTTTGTAAACATGGTGCTTGAAGATGTGACAGAGTATGAATCTACACCTGAGGGACGAAGAATCACTCAACTTGATCAAATTCTTCTCAATGGAAATCATATAACAATGGTAAGAAAAGAAATGTCAGGTTTCAACATACAGTAAAGTATATCAGTATAATTTCTTAACAAAGTTTTATAATTTTTTAATTCACTGGAATGTATTTTGCATATGCTTTGTCCATAAAAAAGGTACATTATATCATATTAATTCTGTGACCTCTGACTATTGTCTACCAACTTTTTTGTGTTCTTATTTATAATCTTGAGTTTATTTTTTTATTATTTTTTTTTTTGGTATAAATTAAAGCCAAATTATAAATTATATTAAATTTTAATCCTAGTTATTAAAAAAAATAATGTAAAAATATTATTTTGCTTTTTAACCTTTATTTTGTACTACTTGTAGGAATACATACACTGGATATAGAATATAAGGATAGCTTGATATTATTAATTTGATGCTGTATGTCTTTTAATTGTCCTTGGAGTACTCCTTAAATATTTGCTTACCAACTATCTCTGCACAATTTAGTACTGAAAACCTGATAGAAAAACTTTGAAATGTCAGCTTACATTCAGCATGCACTTAGCCTTACATTCCTATGTCATTCTTAATGGATCTTGTTATTGTAATAATGTTCCTTTTTAATTTAGGAAGCCTTGTTTGAGACTAACCCATGGGGGCAATGATTGCTGGAACCATTAACAGTTAACAAATATGTAGGAATTCAAAATATACTAAGGAATATTATGTTAATATAGGACACAAACTTTTGTGCAGTTAAAAACAAAGGAGTAAAAAACTGCAGTAAACCTTCTCACAACTTGTGAGATTCAATCTGAAAATCAGTGCCTTGTGGTAATTAGTGTTATGAGAAGTTAAGAACATAAAGGAAAAATAGGGTTGCATTCCTGACAGATACTTCTAAATTTGCCAGTCTCCCTATTCTTCACTCTTCTTCTAGATATAATTTACCTCACATTCTGTTAGTCGCTATTTGAAGCATTTGAAGAATGTGGACCTACTGGACTGACTTGGATATAGCAAAGTTTGTCAGCTTACACATTCCATATATGTCAACAACACTGATTCACTGGTGGCCTGGTGGCTAACGCTCTCGCTTCACACGGCGAGGGTCTGGGTTCGATTCCCAGCCAGAGTAGAAACATTGGACGTGTTTCTTTCCACCTGTTGTCTATGTTCCCCATCAGTAAAATGGGTACCTGGGTGTTAGTCGACTGGTGTGGGTCGCATCCTGGGACACTGACCTAATTTGCCCGAAATGTACCGAAATGTGGAGCATAACAAGGGACTTTCTATATAGTAGTATGTCATTGTTGTCAGCTAGGACTGTATACCTTGTACATGTACTTGTAGTAAATAAAGATATTATTATTATTATTATTACATGCCATAGACCTGCCTGGCTCTACAATTTTTTCTAATAAAGTTGGTAGAATTACCCAAGTAATAGCTTTTATATCCTTTTACTCATGTACGAATTAATTGCTCTACCATATTGTATTACTTTTGTCACTACCACTACTACTACTACTACTACCACTACCACTAGTGAACATCGAAATGGTACCTCACTAGTATTGCACCTCACTCTGAGCCTTTATATACCCTCTGTGTCCGTGTATTGTTTGTAATGGCTTGATAAAGCTCCTGGAGAGCGAAACGTTGCCACAATAAATGTCACATTAGTTGCACTTGTGTCCTTTTACTTTACAATTTTTTTCTAGGTGAGGCATAAAATGTCAGTGGACAGCAAATTTCAAGGCATGAATATTATACACAAATTTACATGAGACATGGTATGGTTCCTGCAGACACCTACAGTGCTCATCATGGCATTATGCCGGGCGAGCGCCCCGGCACAATGCTCTGATGAAAATCAAAGGCCTACCAAACAGGGGGATCTTTTTTCGTCAGTGCATTCTGCTGGGTAGCAGCCGTTAGCATGACGTCTCGGCCTGCTGCCACACTTCACAGTGACTTCTCATTGCTCACGTCTCTGCCATAGTGAGAGGGAGTGTTGCACTGTTGTCTCTCACCCGCCTCATCTTTTGTTCAACGTTCCCTTTGGTTTTGGGACTATACATCTTTGATTATGGGTAAAAAAAAAAAAGTCTTTAACACCTGAAACTATAGCTCAAATCATAGGGCTTCACAAAGCTGGGCACCAGATAAAAGAAATAGTGGAGAATGTTGGTTTGTGTGAGCGTTCAGTGAGGAACTGGGTGCAGCATTTCAAAGCTGGTGGCAGTGTCGAGTTACCGTCTGCCAAACCTTGGCCTGCCCCCTCAAAGAAGACATCTGTTCGTACCTTGACTGTGTTAAAGAAGCAGTTAGAGAGTAACTGCTTCTTTAACACAGTTAAGGTATGAACAGATGATTTGAGCTATAGTTTCAGGTGTTAAAGACTTCCTTTTACCCATAATCAAACATGTATAGCCCCAAAACCAAAGGGAACACTGGACAAAAGATGGGGCGGGTGAGAGACAACGGTGCAACACTCCCTCTCACCATGGCAGCCACGTGAGCAATGAGAAGTCACTGTGAAGTGTGGCAGCAGGTCGAGATGTCATGCTAACGGCTGCTACCCAGAAGACTGCGCTGATGAAAAAAGACCCCTCCTGTATGGTAGGCCTCTGATTTTCATCACAGCATTGTCCCGGGACACTTGCCCAGCATAATACTGTGATGTGATGAGCACTGTAAGTTGTACACAGTTGAAGGGTTATTGTTATTACTGAATCTGCAAATGTGTAAATACCTAGACCCATTATGGGCCTCTGTGATCTTGATGGCTACCCACAGAATGAATATAGGGTGTAAAGTAAAGCTGTCAAACTAATTTCTTTATGGAGATAACATGGTTTCCTCTCATATTATTCTATTAATGTAAAACACTGAAGTAGATGATTCAGTGCTGATTCTTCTCTGGAACTTTTGAATCACTTCTGTATTCAAATTTGCTTAATTAGAATATTTAGAAATACAACACTGTATATAATTGACATTTTTGTAGCACTACAATGAAGCATCTACTTATAGGACAAATGCTTCTGTGAATTATGTGATTATTATTAATTCTGCATTTTTTTTCTTTCAGCTTGTCCCGGGTGGTGCAGAATTAGTAGATTAGCTTCTAGATATAATGTATTTAATTTTTCTTCCAAAATGAGGTATAAGTACAGCAAACCCTCGATTTAACGGACTTATGATAAACAGAACGAAATCATGAGTCGACTGATTCAGAAAGAATGGACAAAGTCCAATGGTTACAAAATTCTCTATTATTGTTAACATCTTGGCAAATCATTAACATATCTGTCCACCACAAAAATCATTACTGGCCACCCATTTCTGCCTAACAGTTCATTAAATCAAGGGTTCACTGTATTGTAAATCCTAGAACATGTTAAAAAGAAGTGTTTTGCAAAGTAGGGCACAGACACAAGAGAGCCTTGATGTTTTCACATGAAATCAGTACAGTGATATAAACATTGTGTTTAACCTGCTGCAAAATTTACTGCATATATTATGCATGATTAATTACTTGTATCTTTCTATGAAAAGAATAGATTTTTGATTGAAAGGCAGTAACAAGCTGTCAGCATCATGGAGATAATGTAATAAGCAAATTAGTAAATAATGACCTAAATGTGTAGAAAATTATAATTCAAATTTTGTAGATGACAATAACTGGACTTTATTTTTTTTATAGCTCTAAAAGAATGTTAATCTTTTAGCAAACAATTTAAATATGATAACCAGAATCTGGTTAAATATTCTGAAGAAATAAAAACTATTATTCATAAAAATTGTAATGCATTTAATACAAAGAATTACATTTGGTTTTGTTTATATAAGATAAATACTAACTAAGGAATTTCCCAAAAGTTTCATTTCTAACTTTTGGTTGGATAATAAGCCAAAAATTTTTTTTTCTTTTGAATGTATTGTCATGTCTTGGTATTTACAATGTAAAACTATATTCAATAAAAATTTGCCTTTCAAACTTTGTTTTGTATCACATTTTTAATATTCTGTAATACAGCCTCTCTTCACTTTACGACGGAGTTCCATTCCTAAGACCACATCGGTAAACAAATTAGTCGCTAAGTGAGGAGCATACTATAATGGTAGTGGGTTTATGTCGGCCATCTTTGATATTGTTTTTATGTCACCTTTGCATCACTTATAACATTTCTAGTATAGTTTTAAATGTTTATACAGTAGTGGACTGTATTTTGTAATAAACACAACAGAAGAAACCAGGTCTAATATACATAACTAGGTATGTATACTGGTCAGAGAGCCCATTGTAAGTCCAAGTCATCGGTAAACGAGTACGTCACTGAGGAGAGGCTGTATATGCAGTATTAATAAAGGCCCTCTTTCTTTCAACACACCGGCTGTATCCCACTGAGGTGGGGTGGCCCAAAAGGAAAAACGTAAGTTTCTCTTTTTACATTTAGTAATGTATACAGGAGAAGGGGGTATCATTCCAGTCACGGTATTGTGCCTTTTTTTGTTATTTAAGGGGTTACTAACCCTAGTGCTCCCGACATTTTAGTCGCCTCTTATGACATGCGTGGCTTACGGAGGAAGAATTCTGTTCCACATTCCCATGGAGATAAGAGGAAATAAACAAGAACAAGAAATAGTAAGTAAATAGAAGAAAACCCAGATGAGTGTATATAGTACATGCTTGTACATGCATGTGTAGTGTGACCTAAGTGTAAGTAGAAGTAGCATGTTTATGAGACAGAAAAAAGATACCAGCAATTCTACCATCAACCTTGACCTAAAACGCTTTCTTGATAGTTGTGACAGAACCCACAGGCATAACACCAGACACAAACATCTCTACGACATTCCCCGTGTCCGACTAAACCCTTACAAAAATTCAATGTATGTCAAAGGCCCTAAAATCTGGAACACCCTACCTGAGAACTCTAGAACTGCAGACACATTCATCACCTTCAAAACTATCATTAGAAAACATCTTATCTCCCTGATACACCCCGTCAACTAACTACACGAATACCACCTGGTGGTTCACACTTACACTCACTCACCCATTTGACCATAAACAGAAATATTAATCTCAATCTTAAAATAATGAATCCTGTGATACTCCAATACTGAAATCATGTACTGTGCCAAAACAAAAGCATTCACATTGCTAAACTCACAAACTAGTATTTAGTCACTTAGCCATAATACCAACTTACCTCATAATTTGTAATATTTTAAAATTAAGAATTAAACTAAGTCTGCCCGAAATGCCTAGCCATGCTAGGTGTTCTAGTGGTACACTCTGTAATCATTATTTTACTACATGTAAACCACACAATAACCAAATTCTGTAAACTCAGCATTGTAATCCTTATAGAGAATAAACTTTGAATTTGAATTTGAATTTGACTCATGGAAAACAATGACAGGCTTTTGTTTTACACTCACTTGGCAGGACGGTAGTACCTCCCTGGGTGGCAGACAGCAACTGCTGTTAATGTAGACAGACGCTGACCAAGTCTGCCCTGGGCCTATGTCAATATTGCATAATTAAGGTTTATATTTTTACAGTTTAAAATGTAATGGATGGATGTCAAGAACTTCCAAAGTTAGTATTTAACGGAATAATTTTAGGCATCAGTATGTGTAATCTTGTAGTATATGTATTATAAGATCATATGCAGGTTAATGGCAATCATAATGTTTTATTTGTTTAATGTTGCCTTAAGATGCCTGACGCACAAGCATATGCATAGATTTAAGAGTGGTGTACATAGTGACAAAAACTTACAGGTGAGCACAAATAGAAAGCATGTCTGTCTCGCGTTCAGCAGATGGAGGATCAAGCCTTTATCACATCTTGCCTCTAAAGGGAGTTTCCTTGATGCTGGTAAGGAGTTCTTGATTAGGGAATTGGATCTGTGCTCCAGTTCCCTGAAGTGAGCCTGAATGCCTTCCATCCCCCCCTACATGCACTGTATAATCCTATAGGTTTAGTGCTCCCTCATAATTATAATAATATCACATCTTGCACTGACTGACCCATATGGGTTTAGTGCTTTACATGAATTAAACAAAAACATGGTGACAAAAGTTAAAATTAATGTAAATTCATTATTTGCATGACATCTGAACTGTTGTATATGCATGCCTCTGTAAAGACAGTTCATTCTTTTTGGATCACCCTGCCTCGGTGGGAGATAGCTGGCTGTCTTCAAAAGGAAACTAGACAGGTACCTAAAGTTAGTACCTGACCAGCCAGGCTATAGTTCCTTCTTTGGTTTGCATATGGCAAGCAGTAACAGCCTGGTTGATAGGCATTATTGCCAAATCTTTTTTTGTAATGAGACTTATTGTAACCGCAAGTACCAATGGCCAGAGCAAAAAAACTGAGCTTTTCAGCGATGGAAGTAATCCACACTTATGTCTCTTCCATGATGAAATCAAATTGGATGAATAGGTTGGCAACCTTACCAGATGAGCATGTCATCATTAAGGGTTTGGACATGGATGAAATAATTCACAATTCTGCAGTGCTAAGAGCTCAAAAATTAATATATGAAGCCAAATTTTGAACGAGTATGCATTTTATTAAATGCTACTTCATTACTGAATTTAATAAAATATTTTGTTTATATTAAGATTTTAATAAAATTTACTGAATGAAATAATAAATTATATTTCAAACTTTTTTTTTTACTACAAATCCTTTATATGGAAAATTTAGGTGGGGGAACAGGACGTCTAATCAAAATTGGCTCAGGGCACCGAAAAACTTGGATCCGGTCCAGTGAGTCAAGTCCAAAGCAAAACTCTGAAAATCCTTCACTTGGAGTGGCCTTCAAATATCAAAACATTCAACTGAAATTTTGCTCAGTCTGTGTTTCAACATAGACTGAGTGAGGCTACATTAAAGAGAATGAAGACAAAACGGCTCCAACTAAAGAGTATAGGAACTTTGTGGCCAGGAACGTTATTGAAGTTAGTCTGTAACGTCCAGGCAGTGAATAAGAAGAGTAACAAAAATGAATATCTCAGATGAAGATTGCATTATGAATGCTGTATTTTAAGAATACAATTACCATTCTCCCTTTCTGTAGCTAAAAAATACATAATCACAGGATATATACACTGAGAGGTGTATTTCTCTTAGCATATATATGCTGAGAGTTTACGTTAATCCTTACATTAGTGATTAGAATATTCTTGTTTAGTGGTGTACAAGTTACGTGCAGTCTTAATGGCCCTAGGTTGGTAGATAGGTTTTAAACCTGTCCCTATTAACCAACCCATACCTTATGAATGAAGCTGCAGAAAGGTAGGATAGTGATTTATTGTTAAAATGTTTAAAATGCTACTCTGACTTACTATATTCATATTTATGTTTATTTTCTTTTGCTAATACCACCATAGGTAGGCAGGTAGATGTATAGTGGATGAGACTGTATGAGCCTGGTGGCTAAAGCTTCCGCTTCACACACGGAGGGCCTGGGTTCGATTCCCGGCGGGTGGAAACATTTCGACACGTTTCCTTACACCTGTTGTCCTGTTTACCTAGCAGCAAATAGGTACCTGGGTGTTAGTCGACTGGTGTGGGTCGCATCCTGGGGGACAAGATTAAGGACCCCAATGGAAATAAGTTAGACAGTCCTCGATGACGCACTGACTTTCTTGGGTTATCCTGGGTGGCTAACCCCCCGGGGTTAAAAATCCGAACGAAATCTTATCTTATCTTACGACGGAATGATGTATAGTGGATAAGACGGTATGATGTATAGTGGATAAGATGGTATGATGTATAATGGATACGACAGAATGATGTATAATTGATAAGACAGTATGATGTACAGTGGATAAGACAGAATGATGTATAGTGGATATGACAGAATGATGTACAGTGGATACGACAGAATGATGTATAGTGGATACGACGGAATGATGTATAGTGGATAAGACGGAATGATGTATAGTGGATACGACGGAATGATGTATAGTGGATAAGACGGTATGATGTATAGTGGATACGACGGAATGATGTATAGTGGATAAGATGGTATGATGTATAGTGAATACGACGGAATGATGTATTACCTGGAGTTTACCTGGAGAGAGTTTCGGGGGTCAACGCCCCCGCGGCCCGGTCTGTGACCAGGCCTCCTGGTGGATCAGCGCCTGATCAACCAGGCTGTTGCTGCTGGCTGCACGCAAACCAACGTACGAGCCACAGCCCGGCTGATCAGGAACTGACTTTAGGTGCTTGTCCAGTGCCAGCTTGAAGACTGCCAGGGGTCTGTTGGTAATCCCCCTTATGTGTGCTGGGAGGCAGTTGAACAGTCTCGGGCCCCTGACACTTATTGTATGATCTCTTAACGTGCTAGTGACACCCCTGCTTTTCATTGGGGGGATGGTATGATGGTAAGATGGTATGATGTATAGTGGATACGACGGAATGATGTATAGTGGATAAGACGGAATGATGTATAGTGGATACGACGGAATGATGTATAGTGGATAAGACGGAATGATGTATAGTGGATACGACAGAATGATGTATAATGGATACGACGGAATGATGTATAGCGGATAAGACGGTATGATGTATAGTGGATAAGATGGTATGATGTATAGTGGATAAGACAGAATGATGTATAGTGGATACGACGGAATGATGTATAGTGGATAAGGCAGTATGATGTATAGTGGATAAGACGGTATGATGTATAGAGGATAAGACGGAATGATGTATAGTGGATAAGACAGTATGATGTATAGTGGATAAGACGGTATGATGTATAGTGGATACGGCAGAATGATGTATAGTGGATAAGACGGTATGATGTATAGTGGATAAGACGGTATGATGTACAGTGGATAAGACAGAATGATGTATAGTGATACGACAGAATGATGTATAGTGGATAAGATGGTATGATGTATAATGGATAAGATAGTATGATGTATAGTGGATACGACAGAATGATGTATAGTGGATACGAC